TCAACACCACTGACATGTTGGCCCGACCAGCACCTCAGGTAGGAAGGAAACACTTCAAAGTCAATAGAATGTGTATTTGTTCCTTTCCTCGTATGAAAAACTAGGAAAAACATTTTATTTTACTCATACTCAACTGAATGTGAGAATAATACTGTCATCTTGTTCAAGTATTAAATGTGTTGATTATGTTAAAACTATAATTTTGCATAAGATTTAACAGCCACTCATTAGTAATAAAGATAATCACGATACCTAGAATTTATCACACCCTAAGTCCCAGTGTTCTAAGTTCCTTACATGTGTACATCTAGTTCTTTTTAAATGTCCCCCCCCTGGAAAGTCCATGTCTGCTAATTCTTTCCTTTTGCTTGAAAGCAACCATGCTTGCTCACTGCTTTCCTGACTACTTCTGTTTCATTGCATCCCCCTTGACACCATTAGCTAGACCTTCTTTCTTATGTCTGAAACCTTGTCCTTGCTACATCTGTTCCCTCTCTTCCTCTTAGGTCGTAACTAAACCTTCCTCTGCATTCTACTATCCCTCCCAAACTAATATTCTATCATCCTCCTTCCTTTCAGTTACAAATGTCCTGGAAAATGTTGGCTCCCCTGTCTCCTTCAATTTCTGCATCAACCATCTTCTCTTACACTGTTCGTCAACTTCCTATTGGTTCCTGTGATGTAATTGTTGAATCCAGCAACCTTTTCTTGCTCCTCATTGCCCTTGGCCCTCTCATCATTGGGACATTTTTTGATATCTTCTCCATCTTTAAAGTATTGTCTTCCTTCATTTGGGATTCCAGTACTCTCCCAGTTCTCTTGTCCTCTCTAGCTTGTTAAAATGTTTTCTCACCTTCTTATTCTTAAGCTTAAGAATCATCTGAAATTCTTTCCTTGTCTTCATCAAAACATGCTATACCCAGTTCCTCCTTCTGAATTGTCTATTTCTGGAGCCTAATGGACCATCCTTTCCTAAATCACCTCTGGCTGGAAGCTTTAGTGTGATATTTAATGCTGCTTTCTCCCTTGTGCCGAGAGTCCCATCAGCTCTCATTCATTCATCCTTTCCATTCTCACTGTCATCGCCCGGGAGGGGCTTAGAGCACATCATGCCTGAATTACTGCACCTGCCGCCTAAGTGGTCTTTCTACCGCTGCTCATTCTCTCCTCTTCAGTTCACCCAGTACATCACCCCTGGACTACCTGTCAGAAATCACTGCTTTGAATATTTCCTTCTCTTCCCCCATCTCAGGATTTCAACCATGGCCCATCGCCTGTCAAATAAAATAAAAACTCACTAAACCTTCACAGAGACTTTCCAGCTTTATCTTCCACTCCTCTACATGCTGTTTATTTGCTGTTCATCACAGCAGCAAATAATTTTTTACACCTCTGGGGCTCTCTGCCCATGCCATGTGGAATGCCTCTCTACTCCTGTCTTAGTCCATTCAAGGAAAACTTGGAGTCTGCATTAATTAGAGGGACTCCCATCTAATTACCCATGGTGCTAAAGTTTCTCTCTCTATTGTAAGCTCTTTTCACTACTTCTGTAGCTTTTATCACATGTTAATTTGTTTTACCTAAGTACAATAACTTCTCATCTGACTTTATTGAGAGGTTCTTGGAAACAACATAAAATGAAACCACTTTTATCATAAGCTAATTGATATGAGTAAAGTTACTATGGCATCTCATCAACATTATAATGAAACAATGTTCAACAAAATGACATTTTTCGAAGACCTGCAATACATGTTTTATCTCATACTATTTCACCAACTGGATAGTAACCCACCTTGCCCCTGTTGCAAGTTCTCCAGTGGCTCTCCACAGCCTTCAGGATCAAGTTTAAACTCTTCATCTCAGTGTATGGGTTTCTCCTCATCTGATCTCTGCCTGCTCCTCTTCTTACAGCGCCCACACTCATCTACAGGCACCAAAGGCCCAATTGGTCCAGTTCACCTGCAGTTCACCTGCAGTTCTCCAAGCATCCTACATGCATTCATGTCTGTTTTGCCTTTACTCATCCCACTTCATCTGCCTGGGATGTTTTGTGTCACTGATTTTACTGGCCAAAGATGCCTCTCTTTCAAGATTCAACCCAGGCGCCGCCTCCTTCAGGATGCTCGTCCCTGACACCCAGCCCATGAGATGCACATCCTTCCTGCCTCTGCAGGACCTTGGGGTACGATACTGCCTTTGTTCATCTGCTGACCTACCTACCTTTCCTAGGGGAACATAAGTTTCCCAGGGGCTGCAACATCTTCAGCTTCCCACCTGTACTCCTAGCACCTAGCCTAGGGCTATTGATGTAGTGAAATGAGGCAGGATTGGCTTGGGGAGGCCAGCCAGGTATGTAGATAGGTCTCCAGAAGGCAGCACTTAGGTGAGTTTGCCATGACTCAGGGCCTGGCTTTGCCATGACTGAAGGCCTGGGAACTTGTCTTAACATATTATGAGAGGACCCATCTCACAAAGAGAGAATCTTCTGAACCAAGCTCACAGAGGCTACTATATAAAATTGGCATGCCTATGCTCTAGTTACTAAGGGGTGTGTTAACTGGACTATTGCTGGCATTAACCTGCCCTTGGCATTCTCCCCCTGTGTATATGCCACACAAAAAGCCAATTCTATCATTGTATATTTGCAACCAGTTCCTTTTATTTCACAATGGCTAATCATATGAATTGTGTGTGGATTTTACTAGCTCGCCTGTGAAAGAACAAACAACCTTATTTCTAAATTCTTGGGGAGAGATGGGAACAGTTCCCTGTAGTTTCTAGGTATTGATTAATAAGTCTTTAATAAACATATGTGTAATATTGCTGATTAAATAAACAAATTCAGATCCTGCCACTGGTTATAAGAAAGCTTTGATTGCGAGGCTAATTGTGGCAAAGTAACATAGAGACATATTCCATCTGACCTCGTTACTGGAAAACCACATCTCCCTTTAAAAACGTCTTTAACTCTCTGACACATTTCTGTTTTTCTTCACGTTCTCCCCAGCCATTCCCATTGGAAGGCAGCACCGTGTGTCGGGGACCTCACGGGCACGTAGCCAACTGAGCTTTCACCCTGCTCTCTCTGCCTACCTGTCTCTTCTGCTGCTCTGACTGCTGCCACCACAAGCCCTACCTGTTCCCCCTTCCTCCAAAAGCAGTTTTATTTCTCCTCCTTTCTGAGTCAGAACTGCACCTTGCAGCTCTCCTCTGAGGTAAGTGGTCCAGCACAGTCTCTGCTGAGACCTTGGAGGCTGCACCTGGTACCTGCACATCTCCGACTTCTGCCCTGCATGTTTTAAAGAGATGTGGCTCTGAATAAAGTGAAAAGATGGGGATCCCTCATCCAAGTGATGTTAAAATGAAGTCAGTTCACAGGAGAAAATCAGCCTTTTGTAACAAAGTACCAAGCAGGCTGTTGGTCATGGATCATGTGGACAGAATTAGGCTGATTCTTTTTTTCCATTGTTGGTTATTGTTATTATACTCACACCTCGATGGGCAGGCTGTGGCTATACAATACCAAAATTCAGTGCCACGATGGTTTTTTAACTTTGGAGCAAGATAAATACATTTCTGCTTACTTATCAATATGAGAAAAATCCAGATTTCAGTGTTTAATGTAGTATGGTCTTTTTACTATTTTAGATGACTGTAAATTATTACCAGTTTGGTAACTTTACTATTTGACAAAGTAAGACTAGGAATTTTTTGTCTGGTGTGCCTTTTTCTTTCTCCCCATTTTCCACTAAATATTGTCACGTAACTACATTTGCATAAATCGAATTTTTCACATAAATACATTTCACTTCTTATCTGTAGTTCCATACTTGTCATTAAGAAAATTTAGACCTTAAGCAAAGTAATGAAATAATATCTGCCCTAATTTTTAAGGACCTACAATGTGTATGCCAATCTCTCTGCAAGGTGTTTTGTGTATCTTAAATATAATACTCTGAAGGGTTTAACCTTTAAACAAACCTCCCATTTTGCAGAGGAGGCTACTGAGGTTAAGGAGCTTGCCCGAGTCCCAGCACCAGGGCAGAGCAGAGTTCAGAGCCCGGCCCACCTCGCTTCCCCGCACACTCTTTTCCCTGCACCATCCCTGCTTCCGGGGATCGTGTCTCCAGGAGGCCTTGCCACAGCCTCCCCCACCCACAGCACAACCCTGTGCAATGAATATTAGATTGCTTCCAGTTCGTCCTTCTCGTTCTGTCATTTTCCACTGGTGGAAGAGAAAACTACTTCAGTGGCTCTATCAGCCTGTGTCAGTCCTGGGCTGCCACATATAAAACAGGATGTTGTGTGACTTCAAAAACTGTCACAGCATGGTCATGAAAAAATAGGTCTTTGGAAGGAGATAATAGTGTATTTTAAAAACACACATTTGCAAAAGGTAAGAGTTCCTTCTTTTTTATGACTGCATGTTATTCCGTTGTATAAACGTACCGAAGCTTTTTTATCTGCTCATCTCCTGATGGGCACTGGGCTGTTGTAAATCTCGGCGATTGTAAATAACACTGCTGTGAACATAGGGGAGTGTGTGGTCTTTCAAATTGGTGTTTCAGGATTCTTAGGGTATATTTCAAGAATGGATAGACCTGGAAATTATTATGCTAAGTGAAATAAGACAGTCAGTGAAGGACAAATACCATATGATCTCACTTACATGTGGAATCTAATGAACAAAATAAACTGACATACGAAATAGAAGCAGAGGCATGGACACATGGAACAGATTGACAGCTGTCAGAGGGGAGGGAGAGGGGTGAATTGGGTGAAAGAAGTTGGAGGGATTAGCCCATGAACATATATGCATTACCCATGGACACGGGCAATGGTGTGGTGATGGCCAGAGGGAAGGAGGGGGGTGAGGGCTGGGGGTGGGGGGTGAATGGGGACATCTGGAATAGTGTCAACAATAAAAATAAAGGTAAAAAAACGAACAGAAACACACCATGAGTTTGCCGCATGGTTTAATCTGTGTGTTTTTGTAGCCAAGGAAGAATACGAAGATGGAATTGAACGGACATGCGACACTCTCCTTATGTGCATTGTCACGGTCCTGAACCAGGGCCTCAGGAACGGCGGTGGCGTGGGGGACGTGCTGAGGAGGCCATCGAAAGACGTAAGCCGCAGGAGAACTGTTTTCTCGAGACGCACATAATTGTTTTCTTTAAAGCCCCTCTTAATGCTATTTACAATACCATTTTTTGTTTTCAGGGTACCGTCTTGTGTCATTTGCTTTCAAAGTATCATGGTAGCCATTAAGCCCAATTCGTTGAATGCTAGGCTTACACAGAAATCACTGAAAACCTGTGTCGTTAGTGGGCTCACGTGGTTGTTCCAAGCTCGAGCTGTGCATTGTATTTCAGCAGCCGCATCACGATGACAAAGGCCGTGGAAGCGCCGTGGAGGAGCCGAGTGTTCCGCAAACAGGCTGCCTCTCGCCTGTCAGCTGTCTCAGGCAGGAGGATGTCCTCTCTGCCTCCGAATATGAGTAGCCTTCATGATTTATCCGTGATGAATATAAAATTTAAACAAATCCTAACAGGATTTCGTATCTTAAAATGGCAAGGCTGAGAAATTTCTCATTAGCTGTAAAATCTCAAGCATCAGGCTGGGCGGTTGGGGAAAAATCTCAGTCCTCCAACCGGCTGGCTGGATCATGTTGCCGATTCATCTAATGCTTCCTCATCTGTGATGTGGCTGGACTACATGACCTCTACTGTGTACTTTAATCCTGTTCATCAAGTAGGAATAGCTTGAGCTATATGTACTTGACCCTATAAGGCCAAGAACAAAACCCACTCCAGAAACTGATGAATTGTTAGGTCCTTCCCAGCTCCCTAATCATTGACTTCTGGAAATGATATTTGTATACCTTTAGTGCAACTTCAAGGATGCAACCGAATGCACCAAAATGCATTGAGCAGAGTGACAAAGTGGTTTATAACAAAAAGTCGGCCCCTGTTACAAGGTGGGAGTAGAGGGAGTGTAAGTGCCAGAGAATAGAAGGGGTTCTGGGAGGAGGCTGTGGAGCTTTTCTCATTACATTTAAAGAAGTTGAAAGTAGAAAGTAGGTCTTATTTTTCCATCTCAGAATACTGTTTATATTAATTTAGCATATATTTATTGAATACATTCCCTTTGCTAGGCAATATGCTAAATCACCACACCTTGAAAATGTTTATGTATGCATATATATATATTTTTTTAATTTTCATTTCAGGAGCCCTTGTTTGCTGCCCGAGTGGTATATGACCTTCTTTTTTATTTCATTGTTATCATTATTGTTCTCAACCTGATTTTTGGTGTCATCATTGATACTTTTGCTGATCTCAGAAGTGAAAAACAGAAAAAAGAAGAAATTCTAAAGACAACCTGCTTCATCTGTGGTAAGTGTTCTCAAAATACTAAAATAATAGATGAAACGGCCCAGCAGGGGCTTGAACAATGTTTATTTTTCATGCTTTAGGAAAATCATTTCACAAATGAGAGCTGGACTATAATTCTGAGCATTGGACTGGGATCCTCTGTTCTATAAATAGATAGAAGAATTACATCTCAAAGCTATCTTGTCATTATTCCTGCAATTTCTTTGATCCTTTGACTTTAGAATACGTTGTGAAATGCCAAAAGGTTCTATAAACTGACAGATTTTTCATCACAGTAACATAGTGATTAAATAACAAAATGATTATTTTATGTTGTTAGATTATGAATCCACAGATGCTGTTTCCAGCAGCTTGAACTTTTACGCACTGGCACTGTGCTTTCTTTCAGCTGTGAACTGTGCTGCTTTCTCTCTGTTTTTCTTCTCCCCTCCCCTCCCCTCCCCTCCCCTCCCCTCCCCTCCCCTCCCCTCCCCTCCCCTCCCCTCCCCTCCCCTCCCCCTCCCCTCCCCTCCCCTCCCCTCCCTCCTCCCTCCTCCCTCCCTCCCTCCCCACCTTCTGCATCCCTTCCTCCCTACCGCCCTCTCACACCCCCCACCTTTCTTCCTTCCTCTTCATCTTCCTGCCTTTCCCTGCTTCTTCCTTCCTAAGGAAGAAAGCAGAGTCTTCTCTTTACATGTCTAGGTTAGATGGAGGAAAGCAAGGTGGAGAGGGAGCCAAGGAAGATGCTATGCAATGGTTTGGGGATTTGGGGGCATGAACCATTGTATCAAAGGATGAGTCCCACAGAGATAAAAAGACACTGCCCTGAAAATCTTTCTGCATGTCTCATGGTCTTATTTTTGCATTGCTTCCTCTGAGCCCTTGTCTTCACAATCAAAGTAACTATTATGTAAGCAAATTACCTCTGAAAAGTGGATGTTTTGGAAGAATGTATCAGCAGTAGGATGTAAGCCTCGTTCTAAGACATGATCCTGTTCCCCATATTCTGTCAACATGAACAGTATAGTAAGGCCATCACTACCCACCATTCCTGCTCCTGTTAGGTTTCCCTTCGCTGTTGAAATTCTCTTTGGCTTTTCATAGTTATTAAAAAGCCAGTAACCTGTCTGTTTCCTAAAACTTGAAGGTAACCTTCATCACCAATTGAAATGGTTTTTCTCGAATCTCATCATGAATTCCCTGCTGACCTTTCCTTCTACCTTGAATTGCACATTCTCTGGTTCCACCACGAGGTCCCATTTCCCTCCTAGCCTCCAGATAAGAGGTTCTGATTTGACCATGGACCCCTGGTCACTTCTCTCTGCCCTCCTCTTTATCATCACTGTATGCATATTATTGCCAACTACGCAGCCACAGCTCCAGCTTCTGTCCAGGCGTTTGTCCTTTGTCTTCAGTTATTGACTGGCAGAAAGGTCTGGCTTCCTGGCAGCCAGCTTCACTGTGTACAAAAACCAGTGCATCCTGCCTTTGCATCTCCTCTCTAACCCAGCGACTTGTCCTGACTTCCACATTGCAATGAATGATATCCCACTACACCTTTAGTTCTCTGGACTGGGGACTTCTCCGTCATTTCTAGCATCTGCTTTGTCCTCTTCCAGGTGCACTAGTTACCCTGTGCTCATGAGTCGTCTTTCATAGATTCACTCACTGCCTTCCACAGATTCCCCTGGCCACACCTTGGTTTTCTGAGGCTCACCCTGGCTCACCCCTGTTGGCCCGCTCGGTGCTGCCACATGAATTTTTCTACTTTGAATTCATTCTTATTCAAAAGGCTACCAAGAGCACTGCAGCCTATAATTCTAAAACTTTAATTTTCTTGGCGTGTAAGGTGCCCATAATGGGTCCCCTTCTCTTTTTGCCCGCCCTTTTACCCAGTGTTCTCATTTATAGCTCACGTTCTAGTCTAACTGTATTACTCATCTTTAACTCTCCTTGCGTTCTCAGTTACGGTGTTTCTGTTGGGAATGCCCAAACTCCTAACTGTTGAACTCCTGCCCTCATTCTGAGCCCCAGACCTAATGCCATTATTCCATGAAGTGTTCTCGGATCTCTCTCACCGGAAACAAACATGTCTGTTCCCGAATCCCTCATATCACCCTTAGCTGCATCATGGTACTGATTGCCTTCTCTCCTCTGTTGGATGCTATCCATTATCATATAGAAAGTGAATGAACTTTATGGTCCAAGGGACATAGGTCTCTATTGCTTCCATGTCCTGGCTAAGTGGTGTTGGCCAAGTTTCCTTTCACCTTGAACTATTGTTTCCTTATCTGGGAAATGGGGACTGTAATGCCATATTTGGGGGTTGTAGTGAGTATAAATGACATCACTAGTGTCAGAATTCCTAGTTCAATGGTTAGCTGAGAGCAACCACTGAACGCATGTTCATTTCTCTTCTTTAAGAGATCCAGACTCTTGTTTTATGTCATTTTAATGCTTCCATAGCATGTATTAGGGATTATTCATAAACATTTTCTTAATGACCGACTATCCAATTAGCTCCAAATTAACATTGTCTCTGCACCTATAAGAAAGGTGCAGAGACAATGCACCTTTATTTATAACCTATAAAAAAAGATAAAACAAGTAAGTACTAAATTAATATATACTGCAGGTGAAAATATCTAGGTACACTAACTCTGAGTTACTCCAAATTTCGCCACACATGGGGTATTGTCTCTGTGGCGCCCACACGCCCGTGGGGAGGCAGGGACACCAGGAGCTCAAGAGAGGTTGGCACATGGTCTGTTTTCCAGAAGCCTCATAGTTATTCAAAAATTTAGAGTGGTCGTTTAGGTAATTTAACCTATGAGTAAATTTAAATTGCATTTTCATATTAGTACAAATAAAATGTTATAAAGTAGAGCAAATTTAGCATGAACATTTAAAATAAAATAGAAACATTTTTAAATATTCAAAAGTGGTGCCAGGCACTTTTAGCTGCTAATCCCTGGAGCATAAGGGTTGTCTATTCTCTGCCCTGAAAGGACCTTCCGTTCACCAAAAGCATGTGAGAAGTGTTCTGATGAGATATATCTAGATACGCATTCATTCCTGGAATTGCTTACCACATGTAAGATTTAATACATACCATATAAATTATGCGAACTTCATTACAGGAATGGTTTAAGCATTTGGGATATTTGGAGGTTGCACTAAAAACGATCATGATTAATCTACAAATGGTTCTGGGAAGAGTCGGGTGTTAAGTTGTGATCCAAAGAGGGATAAAGTACAAATGACAGAAGGGAGAATCTCCACCGTAGGAGAGAATTGGCTTCGGGAGGGCACCCAGTGACACACATGCAGAGTAGTAATGGAGGGGGTGGATGCCGTGGCAGGTGACGAGAGCCGATGGGACTTCCCTAGCCTTGACCAGATGTTTGAGAGCTATGACTCGGAAGGCAATTGCTAGTGATCCAGAAGGAGGTCGTGATGGGGGCGTAATTAGCAGATGACAGAACTGAAGCAGTAAACACAGAAAACAGACTGGCTCTGGTATCCACAATAATTATTAATTTTTAATTACTAGATGCTGAAAATTCAGGAAAAAGGGCCAGGTGTGACAAAATAAGAAAATGGGAAAAAGAATTTAATGATGTCAGAATTCCAATGGTAAGGATAGTTGGGTTTCTAGAGTTAAAGATCTTTCTAGATGATTTATTAAGAGATAAAGACGATATTGTGAGAGAGGAGCCACCTATGTTTTTCTCTCTTTATATTAGTCCCTTATTATCTGTACTTATACATTAAAGTCATTCTTTCACTTACTTGGTCAACAATTACTTATTGAGCATCTACTATATGCCAAGGCATTGCGGTGAACAAAAATAGACAAACACACAAAAGCACTGCCATTTATAGAAGTTACTTTCCAACACATATAGAATGTCAAATAATGACAAAAGCTAGGGGGGGAAATAAGGCAGAGGACAGAAGGGGGCTGCCTGGATGCTGGGTGGCTGTGTACCCTTCACTTAGTGGGAAACACAGCAAAGTACTTGTATAGTTTTATTTTTCCTGAAAAGTTTGTATTGAGGACACAATGATCCTTGTGTGCTTACAGTTTTCCTACCTCAGTCATCACATTTCATTTCATTTCAGGTTGTTTATCCTTGAACTAGCGTATTTATATCTTGAACTCTCTGAAAGTTCCAGCTTCCTCCCTAGCATTCTAACCCGGTTATTCTATAGGCATTTTAAATTCAACACATCCCCAATCAAAAGTGTCCTCCCTCCAAAGTCTCCTTTTTTTCCTCTTGCTTTAGTGATATTGCCTTAAACTCAGTTAAGTCAGAAAATTCAGAGTCACCCTTGATGTCTCATAAATTTATGCCTCTAACTGTATATCACACCCTCTTAAAATGTCATTCCAAGTTCCTCTTCAGTCTCTCTTGATTTATTCAATTACCCTGTCAAATTCAGTTGAATGCCTATGGTTCACCAGCTGCTATACCAGGTGCTGGTAATACAAAAATGCATCAGACAATAAAGTAGTAGAGCCTCAGAGAGAAACCGACAAACTCTCATTGCAGAGTGTTTTGGACACAGAGAGGATCAACTAACTGGTTGGGTCTGTGGGAGTCAGTGTGGTGGCCATAGTGGAGCTGGGTCTTGAGGAAGGAATACCTGGAAGGCAGGGAAGAGACGAGAGAATTTTCAAAAGATTTAGTGTGTTTGGAGAATGGTGAGAAAGTCAGATTCCAAGAAGTAGATTATCAGAGCCTGAGTCTGCAGGTCACTCCGAGTTCCCCAGTTGACAGGGACTTCATTACATAGGTAAGTAAAAAGAGCGAAAGAAACAAATTTTTGATGAGTTCAGTTTGACATGCCCATAAGCTATCCAGGAGGATTTATTCAGGAGGCAGCTGCCAATAGAAAGTGCACTTGAGAAGAAAGGCCAGTACTGGAGATAAAGATGGAGAAATCAGCAACCTGATGATGGTCAAAGAACAGGCCACAAAGCTTAGCGAGCAAGACCCAATGAATGTGAACGGTAACCAGTTCCCCTCTTTCATGTTTCCCCTCGGCAGCCCTGGTCCCGGGACCCCCACACTCAGCCTCTTTGCCCACAGTCTTTGTCTATAAACCCTGCCTCAGGATGTTACCAAAAGCCCAGCTCTGAATATGCTAGTCTCTTCCCAAACAAAGTGCAGGCTCCTTAGCTCCGTGTTTAAAGTTCATTATCGTTTGTGCCAAAGGTACTGTTTCACCTTCATCTCCAAATGTTCCCTTCTGACCACACCAGGGGAACTGACGCTCCCCCAAACAGGTCGTCTCCTTTCATCTCTAGCTTGGCCGTGACATTTCCTCTGCCCAGATGGCAAAAGAACATGGCTTTGGCATCAGACATATTTTTATTTAAATACTGGCTGACTTTTCCACTAACCAAAAGTGTTTACTTGAGCAATTAATTGAATCCCTCTATTTCCTCACATACTAAAAGGTCAGATTGGATTGTTGGAATTATTGTCAGCATAAATATATGCTAAGTAAAAATTAAATAGCTTTTATTACCATTCCTCTCTTTTCCACTTGCCACAATCACATTTGAAGGCCAGACATTCAAAGCTTTGCACCTCCTTGCAGCAGTTTAAAATGTACATTGTGAGAATTCATCTTGCCTTTCTCTGTGTTTTGTTGGCAATTTACACCACTTCAGAATGTCTGTTGGGTGTCTCCTCTACCATATTATGAGTTAACTGATAGTAGACACATTGTTTTTATAGCCATATGTACCTTGCAACAGGGAGATAAATGTTTGAATTGAATTCTGAGAAAATCTACTTCAACATTTTCTTTCTTTTTCTTTTGGAGTAATAGCTCTGTTGAGATATAATTTATATACCTTACCACTCATCCATTTAAAGCATACAATTCGATGGTTTTTAGTATATTCAGAGCTCAGCATCTATCATCACAGTTTTAGAACATTTTCATTGTCTCTAAAAGAAACGTTATACCCTTTAGCTATCACTATTCCCCCTCCCATTACCTTTTATCCTCCTCAGCCCAAGGCAGCCTTTGAGCTACTGTCTGCCTCTATAGATTTGCCTATTCTGGACATTTCATAAAAATGGAATTATATACTCTGCGGTCTTCAGTGACTTGCTTCTTTCACTTCGTATGATGTTTTAAAGGTTCATGTTGCAGCATATCTCAGTAGCATGTATGGGTATTTTGTTTATCCTTTCATCAGGTAATGAACATTGTATTGTTTCTACTTTTTGGCTATTATGAATAATGCTGCTATGAACAATTTATGTCCAAGCTTTTGTATGGGTATATGTGTCCATATGTTTATATACACACATATATATATACACACATATATTTATATACATATATAAATGTATATATATTTATATATATAAAGACAGAGAGAGATGGGGTCATATAGTAACTCTATATTTAATCTTTTGAGGACCTGCTAAGCTGTTTTCCAAAGTAGCTATACTATTCTATACACATATATTTATACTCCCTTTATATATATATATATATATATATATATATATATATATATATATAAAGAGAGATATGGGGTCATATAGTAACTCTATGTTTAATCTTTTGAGGCCCTGCTAAGCTATTTTCCAAAGTATCTATACTATTTTACATTCCCACCCCTAATGTATGAGGATTCTAATTTATCCGCAGCATCACCATCCCTTGTTATTATCTATTTTTGATTGCAGCCATCCTAGCAGGACATTTTGTTAGTGAAATATTCTTAAGGCATTGAATCAATATTTGTTTCGTGCCGACTACATATGAAGCAGCATTCTAAGCTATTTGGACCATTAGTGAAGAACAGACACAGATATGTCTACCTATGGGCATGCAAAAAATGAGAAACAAGTTCCTGGATAAATTGACATTTCTTTCTTCTGTGCTGATTAGCAGGCAGGATTTTTTGTGCAGCATCAGTTTTCTGTCTTTACCTTATACTTGTGGTCTATTTTGATTTAATAATGTTGATATGGCTGTATTCAGTCATATATAGCCATAGCAGCTTAGCACCTGTTAGGAGGTACTAAGCACTGTAGAAAAAAAGAGGAGAAATGGGAAAGAGTTATTAAGAGTGTCCACACAAAGAAAGGGATAAGTCATAGGATTAAATAGGATGAATAAGTGAAGCCACATTGAGAAGGTAAGATTTGAGCAAAAACTTGAAGGTGAGTGAGTTAGTCAAAGACATACCAGAGAGATGAGTGTCGTAGGCAGAGGAGATGACCAGTCCTAAGGCCCTGAAGCAGGGGTCTGTGCAAGGAGCAGCAAGGAGGCCACTGTGGCTAGGGAGAGGCCAGCAGGGGAGAGGGTAGCAGAAGACAAGGTTAGAGAGGCTGTAGGGCCACATCACTTGAGGGTTAGCAAATAGATACCACATGGGACATACTTATACTCACCAATTACTTATTGTTTATCTGAAATTCAGACTTACTGAGCATCTTGTATTTTATCTGGCCAACCCAATGGCAGATCATTTTAACAACTTTGACCTTTAACCTGAGGATGGAGGACCCACTGCAGGATTTGGAAAAGGGGAGAGTCACTATCTCACTTAGATTTTTAAAGGATCGCCCTGGCTGCTGTGTTGAGAATAGGCTGGAGAGAGTAAGAGTGGCAACGGGACCAGGGAGGCTTATTGTAGTAACCCTGATGAGAGACGACAATGGCCCAGCCCGAAGTGGTGGAGGTGGTGAGTCGTGATCTGACTCTGAATATATGTTGAAGGTAGAGCCAAAAGAAGCATCTCAACCACAGATGGGATGTGGTATGTGAGAGAGGAAGAGGATTCAAGAATGGCTCCTAGACTTTTGGCTTGGACAACTGGAAGCATGGCGTTGCCATGGAATGAAAAGAGGACTGTGGGCAGGGCGGGGTTGAGGGAGACGACTGGGTTCTTTTTGGGGCATGCCGAGTGACGATGGGTCCAATGAGATGAGGCATTGCTATCAGCCGGCTAAATGTTATGGTATTTTCCATTAAATATTCAATAATATATATTCAATAATTTAAAAGGTCACTCCATTTGGGACAGATTTTTTACTTATTATACATTTTATCTGAATATTGAAAGTGTTTTTCTCCTGTCTTCTTCTTCTTCTTCTTTTTTTTTTTTTTAATACACTTAGGAAAAGAGTAGCCAGGATTGGAATTCAATTTCTTGGTTTCTTCTCTAATAGCTGAACTGCAAAACCAGACCAAAGTCCAACATCCCATTTTCCTTGGCTTCCTCTTCATTTTTCCATAGATGGTTTTCTTCATCTCCAATCATGTTCTTTTATCCAGTCTTCAGCCTTTGAGAAAAAATATTACTCCCCAGATCCTTTCCTCAGTGTCCACCCAGAGACTGAAAATGTGCCCTGGAATTGAGCAGACCACCCCCTTCCCCAAATGCCTGGGACAGAGTAAACTGAGAGGCCAGGCAGGTATGTGAGTTCTTGCAGTCAGAGCCCAGATCACGGTGGGCGTTCGCTTACCCTTCACAGATCACAAGTAGTTTTTTTTTAAAGATTTTATTTATTTATCTTTAGAGGGGAAGGGAAGGAGATAGGGAGAGAAATATCAATGTATGGTTGCCTCTCATGTGTCCCCTACTGGGAACTGGCCTGCAACCCAGGCATGTGCCCTGACTGGGAATTGAACCGTGCTCCTTTGGTTTGCAGGCCCGAGCTCAATCCACTGAGCTACACCAGCCAGGGCTACAAGTAGTTTTGAAGAGACTCTCAGCTGCCATCCCTTGTTTTATGAAAGTTCCTGGATCAAATGACTTTTTTTCTGTCCTGATTATCAGGCGTGCCTTTGCTTGCACAATCATTTTTACCTCTTTAGCTTAGACTTGGTGGTCCAGTTTAATTTGGCAATCTTGATACAGTTATATTAGAAATTATCTGCAAATTTTACATCTCTAATAGGATTGTGCATGCCCATGTATCCATGGGGAGAAAAATGTTTGTTGAGAAGAAATCTATAAACTATAGCCTTTTATTCTGGAGGTCTTATGTACTGTGTTGTTTTTAATCATAACATTTTAAATTGGTGCGTTCTTACAGAAAGCTTGTTTGTACATAATTATTATGTTTTGGGGGAAGCTAAAAAGTTATGCACTGATTACATGAAAAATCACATACATTGTGTTTCCTGTGTTTTGCAGGACTCGAAAGGGACAAGTTTGATAATAAAACTGTGTCATTTGAGGAGCACATCAAGTCAGAACACAACATGTGGCATTATTTGTACTTCCTAGTCTTGGTGAAGGTTAAAGACCCAACCGAATACACTGGACCTGAAAGTTACGTGGCTCAGATGATCGTGGTGAGTGATCAGGTGGTTTGATCCTGACTGTATTGGATCTTGTATGCTTTTCCTTCTCTACCCTGCCCTTCTCCCATTTTGTTAACTTTTAAATAGGACTACCCATCACTGAAGTACTGCTATACTGGCTGTCGTTGGTTCCCCGTGCACTTCTTAGCTACGCATACCAAATCTAAGTCTCAGGTGCACAGATATTTACTGAAGAAATCTCCGTGCGGTGAATAGCACCATCTGTCATCTGCTGCCCTCGTGCCTCCTGTCATTCTAATGTCTCAATTCTCCGAATCTGGAACTTGCTCATGGGCAAATATGAACAGAAGATTCATACTTTAAGAAACTTCTTGAACTTCAGAAATCAAGGGTTTAAGGAAGGGAAGAGTACGATGGGAAAACTGGGTGTCTGTCCACATATACTTTGCGTGGGTTTATCAGTGTTGCTGATGTGTCTGCGGTGATCCTTCCGCATCCAGTTATTTGTAACTCCGCGCTAACAACATTGCACAGACGGTGTGGTTGTCCATGGTCTAAAGTCTCTCCTGTTTCAGAGAAGTTTAAAATTGCCTGGCTTAAATAGAAGTCAAAGTTACAACTTTAATGTATCCATGATATACATTTAGTGACATTGCATCGGATATAAATTCTCATATACTTATAATAAACTAGCTGAATATTGGATTTTTTTCCAAAAATTACTCTGCATCCTGGCCAAGTGGCTCAGCTGGTTGGAGCAAGTCCAATCCACCAAAAGGTTGTAGGTTCAATTCCCAGTCAAGGCACGTGCCTAGTTTGAGGATTTGATCCCCAGTTGGGGTACATGCAGGAACAATCAATCAGTCAATGTTTCTTCCTCTCTCTCTCTCCCCCTATGAAATCAGTGGACATATCTTCAGATGAGGATCTTTAAAAAGTCACCCTACAAAAGTACATTATCTATTTGAGAATAAGGCCTGAGAAGAGTCATGATTCCCTTTGCTGCTCGGTCCCAAGAATGACATTCAGTGGGTACCACAAAGTGGCAGGAGAGGCAGAGAACAGTGGCTCCCAGGCCCCGCCTTGGGAGCTGTCAGCCACTGAGGAAGACAAACGATAATATAGGGAGCAACCAAAGGGCACTTTCAGAAGCTAACACATTAGTAAGTGCAAGTTAATATTGTAGTAGTTCGCCTTACCTGACAACATTTATGTCACAAGAGACCTAATCTAAATTATATTTTATAGTTCAGCATTCCCCATGCTTTCTATTATTGACCTGCATCCTCCTGTTGGTTGTTTTCTCTGCATTCTTCAGATGATAGTAGACAGAACCAGTGTCCTTTTCTTCATATATCCTTTTCTGCCTTCTCTTCCTTCTAAATTAGGAAAAAAGATAATCATTTTTAGGGTATTCATTTATAGTCATTATTTTATGCATTCTTGATATTGAGCTGCTCAGGGACCATTTGTGTGAAATATTTTGTTTCTGCTTGCTGGGGAATAAAAAACATGTAAATCGTTAGGTTTAAAGTATAGCCTCAGATTGCTATACTTTATCAAAGTGTGAGTTTAATATAGAGGAGGATGCAGAAGTAGGCTTACAGTTGTTCATATGGAAAAAGACACACAGGTCATGATTATTACAATAGCTACCTACCTGCATGTCTTTTTCCCCATGAACAACTGTAAACCTACTTTTGCCCACTCCCATCATTGTTGGGCATCTATATGTCCCCTGAATTAAAAGATTTCAGAGAATACACTGAAGAGTCAGTGTATTCCTTCTCTGCCAAGAGTCAGTAGAAGGGAGATGGGAATAGCAAACCAAAAGTAGAATAGGCTAAGTTCCCCGAGAGTGGAACAAATGAAGATACGTGTAGTAGGCTTAAAGATGTGGAGTGACACCTGATTGGGCTGTGGCAGAGAGGAGTGGTGTGTGTGACTGTTCCAAGGCAGTGCATCAGACAGGGCAGGCTTCGTGCAGATGAGCAGCGTCTGCTGGATTAAGAGTGAGTTCCTGAAAGAGGGGCGGCCTGACCAAAGGCACAAATATGGGGCATTCAAGCGCTCAGGGGCTAGTTAGTTGCCCAGTTTCACTGGCACATGGTCTACCTAAAAGGAAACTCTCAGAAATATGACAGGAAAAGTACATTGGACTTTCGATTAATGAGGTGTGGGTATTTGGACATTATTTCATCAGCAATGGGAAGCCACTGAAAGCTTTAACTAAGGGAACAGTGTGGCCTAGGACAATAATCAGGCTGTGGTGTGTAGGCTGGTTTGGAGAGGGGGAAGATGATGTCAGAGGTGGTGCTTGGCCATTGCTGACACTAGGGGTGGGGACACGGAGCAGCAGGGGAGGTGGAAGACTGCAAGACAACAACACTTGACACTGTGAGCCTGGTTGTCGGGAGAAAGGTGGTGTCTCTCTGTTAGGCAGAGAAGCTGGTCAGAAAAGAGGAGTTCTTTTCCTCTTTTGAGGAAAAGAACATGAGACTGGGGACCGAGTCATGGATTAGGAGGGACAGTGAAGTGACAGCAGCATGTACTTTAGAGCCAGAAAGATCTGGGCTCAGACTTTGGTTTCATCACTTATTGTGTGGTCTTGGATCTCGTGGGTGAGTCTTTGAACCTACCTGTGGCTCTGCCTACTCATCTAAAGACAGAAAATTATTGGTGTGAGCTCAGTGAGATGATATATAAAAAGTGTCTAGCACAGCATAGGTCCTCAGTAATTGACAGTTTTCACTGTGACTGTCCACATGGAATGACAATGAAAACCATTGGATCAGAGAGAGAGGAGAAAAGGGGGAACTGTGAAGAGAGAAGAGAGAGAAAGTGAGAGAACCTGGGGCATCTCCCATTTAGGAAAAAGAAAAAGACAGGTAAAACAAGTAGAAGAGAAGACAATAAAATGCAGAGAGAGAACCAGAAAGCAGCGTATGTCAAAAGCCAAGGGATGAGCATTTCGATGCCAGAGCTCAACAGATCATTTTTTACAAATTGGCCATGAAGAAGGACAGGTCGGAGTCTTTAGAAATTGTAATGAGGAAATTACAGGTGACTTGTACTGTAAGAGAAGACTGTTCTGAAACTATAGACCCGTATTTGGCCTTAACATGAAACCCAGCATTTTGCCAGGCACTTGTACTTGAATTTTTAAGTATCCATGACCTTACCTGTGTTTCTGTTCCTCCTCTTCTATCAGAACTCTGTCCAGAACCTTGACAGGAGGGATGAGAGCTCACAAGTTTATTCCAGCATGAATTGTTTCATTCTCATCCAAGCGGTGCACATCTAAGAGAATAGTCACCGGTTCTGAATGTCAATAGGCAGGAGAAGGAAAAGTGATAATAAACTCAGGCCTGATGGAAACAGCCGTTAGCATGGGAGATTGTTCATGAACCTTTTTGAAAAAAAACTTCTAGAAATCTTTAACTGTTGAACCCAACTCAGAAAATTTGTTAATCCCAACTTGCTGGGGATTATGGCGTTGTAATGCTGATGCTCCTAGAAAGAGAGTGGATTTTAGAGCAGGTAGCAAGTTGAAGCATGTCTACAGCTCGGTGGGAAGACTGTTGTTTTCTCTGTCCACCCCCGAGGTAATAACCACTCCAACGGTTCAGTAGGTGACCTTCCAGGTGTTTCCTACCACTTTTGTTTTTGCTCCTTAAAAACAGGTTCATTTACCAAGTTGACTTAAGTGCTTGCTTATTCATAGGGCTTTGAAAGAAGCTATAATTCTTTATAATTGATGTAATTATAATTCTTTATACTTAAGGATTTCTACAGAAGAGAATGAAGAAGCTCCTTAAATTTGTTCCTAAAACAACTCATCTGAATTCTACTACACTGTTTAAGTAAATCTGATTTGTACCTTGAGACCCTTAGGAAATGCCTCCTGGCTTTTGGTGAAATAGGGAAAAAAAAGAATATAATAAATTTGGAGGATGTTTCCCCTTTCTGTATACTTTTTCACCTCCAATGTTTATACTTTATTACTATGTCAATAAGGGAGATTTACACCAAATGCATTAAAATATACATTAGAAAAATAATATATTGCTTCTAGATATTAGAAGCTAAGGAAATCTGTGCCCCTACATCCATCCAGTGATAGGGTCCAATGATAGGCTCATTCAGATGGATGAATATTATTACCTCATCCATCTGAAGTAATAATAGAGACTTAAAACTTCTTCATCCCTGCCTTCAGTTCTAAACCAAGCTCTGAAAACATCCACTGTCTGAGTGTCCGAATTCACACAAAGCCTTTTCTGGAATATTGTTAGAGGAGATGTGAGTAGGTTAAGGTGTTTGGAGGAACAGGTTTTCTTTTTGCAACAAACCTTCATTTTTGATAAGAGAATTGATATTTTGAACTAGAATTTTTGGGAACAGAAAATGAGAAGGAAACAGGACCACGCAGGAAAGTAAAATAGTGAAAGGGAATTTTAAAATATTTTTTTTAAATAGAGAGGAAAAGGTGTAAGGGATAAAAGCTGCAACCTGTACTCATAATGGCCTTTGAGCGTCACTGAGCCCTTTTGCTTCTCCCACCACCCAAAGGATGATTGAGGAGGAACTGACAAACTAGAGATCATTAGGAAAAATTGCCCAAAGCTTTTAGACGTTGCTGTAACATTTTGGGGACATTTTCCGATTTTGAGTGTTTGTTTGCTGAGATAACGTTAGGGGCCTTTGAGGATATATATTTTTAAAGGTTTTATTTATTTATTTTTAGAGAGAAGGGAAAGGAGAGAGAAAGAGAAGGAGAGAAGCATCAATGTGTGGTTACATCTCATGTGCCCCTAACTGGGTACCTGGCCCACAACCCAGCATGTGCTCTGACTAGGAACCAAACCCAAGATCTTTTGGTTTGCAGGCCAGCAGTCCGCTGAGCCATACCAACCAGGGCTGGGGATATTTATTACTCAATTTGACAAACAGCAGGATCAAAACCTAGGCACCTGGAAGAGAGGTGCCACGTGTACTCAAAGAGTGCTGCGTCCCCCAATGTCTGGGCA